TAATACATCTCAAACCACTCCATTTTATATAGAACGGTTAATAAGGATTATGATCTTCTTATACCAAAAATAAATAGTCTCATTTATACATTTTTATTTCAAAAAGTTGAGTTTTTATTTCACTACCGACTACAACTAAGACATTTGGGCATCTAATGGGTCTTAAAAGGCACACCGTCGAGCCTTAATTGGAATGTTTAAAGTAGCAACCTTATAGAAACCACCCCCATTAAATAATTGTGGAAGGCGATTTACAAAGCATTATAAGATGGTATAAAAATGAGTAGTGAATTGATATTTTCTTGTTTTTACTCAAAAAAGAATTTATATTTTCTTTTTCCATGACTACAGGGAAGCTAACAAAAGTAGATGACTTGGCGAAGCTAGGAGGCCCTTTGGCTGATCTTTTCAGTGATAATGGGTTGTGTTAAATTTCATAAGTTCTATCTAGAAAATTATATACATCGAAATTTATATAAATAATATACTACCAACTCTGACCTAGAGCCAACACGGTCACTAGCAATTCTTGATCTGAATTGGTGATCCTTGATCCAAATTAATAACTTTTCAAAATTGTAATCCCAATGACCTGTTGTAGGTTGATTTCGGGATTTAGAGAACCCTAGTGAAAAACGTTTGCATGTATGCCACTTGTATGACTTGTAAGCCACTTGGATAGCACTGTATGCCACTTGGAACCCTTGGGATACCACCTGCCTGTCGTCTCCCCCCCCCCTTTCCTTGCTTATAATAAAACCCCATCACACACCTCCAAGAACTTTTGCCTTCTCTCTCTCACGTCCTCCCTTTTCGAATACTTAGAACCTCAGCCTCTTGGAACCATTCTTGGAAGCTTGGAGGCTTGACCTGTGTAAAGAAACTTGCAGTACTTTTGGGTACATGTAAGTAGATCTAGCATTTATGTCTCTATATTTTTATTGAATCATGAAATTTAAACAAGGCTAAAAATGGATGCAGCTGCGTGCTATGGAATTTATGGTAGAATGTGTACTGTTTTTTCAGAACTGTGACTCTTATTTGCATGATAGATTTGAGTATTGAAGATATTTCTGTTGGTTATGAAAATTCATGAAAAAACACCCATGTGAATCTATTTTAAGATGAAAAATACCTTGTATTAATGCCTATTTCGGTTTGGAAGTTATTAGTCATTCTTTGAAGTATGTCAAAACTTTGAAATGGGTTACCAAGAACTTTGCTTGTTTTTAATTGGAACTGTTCACTAATCAATATGCCTCTTAATAAGCTCAAATCACTCTTAAATGAAAGATAAGTGAGTCTACTTCAAAAGCAGTTTTAGAATCAAAGCGAAATTCTCCAAGGTTTTGAAATTATTTCCCTTTTCCTATAAGGATGTCACTGTTGTGAATCCCGAGACTTTTCGACAACTATTACAAGCATTGTGTAAGATTGTTTATTAACTAAATTGTATCAGAATGAGGGCAAACCATTTTTAAACGAAAATGAATGAGTCTAGTTTTAAATTGGTTCTGGAACCATGACCAAATTCTTTGCGGAGTGAAATTTAAGCCCAATTTTCCAAGAGACTGTCACATTGAAATTCCTGCTATTTCCCAGAATTGTTACATGTTTTTATATAAGATTGTTTAATAACCAAATGGTATCAGTATGAGCTCAAACCACTTTTAAATAAAACATGAATGAATATAGTTTCACATTGGTTTTGAAACAATGACATTTTCAAAATCTACATTTTGAAAACAACTTACTTTTCTTAAAAGATAAAATGTACCTATCTTAGGGTTCTAAAAAGGAGGGGGGAAACGTGTCAAATATATACCCTGAAATGGAGGAATCTCAGGTTATAACAGGATGTAGTTTCAATAACGTCGGGGCTTTATGAAAATAAAGTAATGCCTCACCTCGAGTCCGTGCTTGAAAAGCACTTTGGTCATCAATACATTTCTATGCGGCCTCTAAAATCAATTTCCACCGCCGACGGTAAAATTTGAAGCACAAAAAAAGTATAAGTCTGGTAGATCCGTGAACACTTATTTTTTTAAAAAAATAGATGATCTATATAATATGTTAAATTATACATTACTTTTAAGACTTGAAAGTCTACATTTTTTTTATTTTTTAGTTTCTACGACTACAATCGTCAAGGCCAAAATCAATTTGAAGATTTTTCAAGTCAGTGAACTTTGAGATGAAGTTTTACTTATTTTGATAGGGCTTCAACCTATCAAAACATGCTCCTTTATAAAACACATAACCCAAATCGAGGGTATCCCGATAATTTTTGAAGTTGGGAGAATCACAATAGGCCAATAGGGTATACCTGTATATGAGGGCTAGTTCAATGAATTTGAAAGCCAATTCAGGGGTATTTAAGGTATCAATCCCATATCTTATTCTAAGGGCTCTTTCAAAGCACGTATGCGCCATATCATCTCGCTTCTCTGCTCTCTCTCTATATGCTCTGTGGCGCTCACACTTTCTCTCTCTTGCTCTCTGTTGTTCCAGTCTGGCCTGAATGAGTTCACATGCCTTCTTTAGGTAATGGTTTCTTTCTTTTTATTTTTTATTTTCATTTTCTATGGTGGTTATTTTGTCCCTGAATTTCTCTATGTTAATTAGTTCATGATTTTATTCTTGTTTCCTGCAATTCAGTTGCATTGTGACATTTTGTTCTCCTTTTCTTTTTCAATTGTGAAAGTTTCTAGTAGCATCGAAATCCATGTGGATTATTATTCTAAGAAAAAGACCCAAGAATTTTTATGCCTTTTAGTTTTGATTTTAGGCGAAAAAAAGGCAATTTCAGCTCATTTTCATAGCAGAATGTGCTAAGAACATGAGCTAGTTGGGATTTTCGTCTCTTTGTTCCTTTTCTCCACTTGAACTTTCTGGTGTCTGTCACATTGTTATAGAGCTTTATCTCTCGGTTATCACTTTGTTATGGAGCTTTCTCTCTCAGTTATCGCTGCATTATTTTGTCCATCTATGGGTTTTGTAAAAGTGGAGACCTAACCTCTCTCTCTATACTTAGTTCTCTTCCCTTTTTTTTTTTTGTTCCTTTGATTGATATATTTTTAAACTTTGGTAGCCTTGAGGATCAATTGGAAACTAATTCATTGTTTTTAGGCCTAGTTTTTACACTTTATTCACCTAATTCTTTCTTTGCCTTTATTCTTCTTCTTCTTCTTTGTTTGTTTTTTAATTTTTATTTTTAATTTTTGTTTTGACCTTTTTTCGAGACAAGGTTGATGATATTTCGTTACTTTCTTTATTTTTTCTTATTTCCAATATTTTTGTACCATTAATACATTTATGGTTAATTTCACAAGCTGACATATGGGGTTGGGGGTTGAGTGAATAATACTTGGTTTTACAATCTGTCATGAGTCTCTTGTATAAAGCTATAGTAAAGTTGTAATGAATTCAGACATGTGCTATGATGCTATTACTTTGTGCTAACAAGTCACTCATTGATGGTAATGTGGAACCACTAGACTGTAACAAGAAGAATCTTCCTTATTGATACGCTATTGGAATCAGTCAACTTGTCATGATCCTTCACTACTCATCCATCAGAAGAAACGTTGATTAAGTGATGAGAGAACATCAAAACCATTTGATAGACAAATTTTCTTCCAGGTTCAAGAGTTCTTGCTTTTTTGGAATTCTAGTCTAGAGGAATTGGTCATCTCCAAAAGTTAGGAGTTCGGACAGAGATGAAATTGTATGAGAGAATATTGAAGAAGATGTTGCTCACATGGTTTGATGCATCGATCAATTGAGCAATTAGCAGAGGAGTGTTAACTAGAAGTGGCTTCGAAGTTGCCAAGCATATATTTAATTTAAAGTACAATGCATCTTGTAACCGTGGGGCACTTAACTCAGAAAAATAGAGAAAAGAAAAAGAAAACGAAAGGTGAGACATGTAAACTTTATATGCCCAAAAACGTTATTGCAACTCAGGGTTTAAAAATCAGTTGGTTGAGCTAGAATCGCCTGGTTTGACCTAGAACCAGGGGTGGAGTTATCTCGCTCTAGGAAAGCTGAGAACCACCTGATCCCCACCAGTTATCAATTTTCTTTTTCTATTAGTTGTATGCATACACCAACCCGGATCGGTGAATCACGAGCTAGATCAGTCAATCGGGAATCGGTGTCCTATATCGTCAGGGCATGATCCGATTTTTAAAACTTGTATATGAACTTGTGTTGTATTCATGTTGGAATGTTCATGTTTCATATTAGAAGCTCCATTTGCAGTATGATGAAATGTCTTAGAAGCTCCATGTGCAGTATGATGAAATGTCGCTGGCTCAATGGAAGGTCCTTCTAGGTAAAATGGAATGCATGTCTCTTGATTGGAGTCCAAATGTAAGCCCAGGTGCCATGAAATTTTGGCTGAGGAAAACTTGGATTAAAGATGACTATATAAATAAGAGCAAAGGTTTTTTTTGATAAAGTTAACCTTGAATAAGAACAAAGGTTGAACTAGACAATATGTAAATTCAACATTGGTTCAAAAAGCCCATGCCCCTCATACTGTTAATCGTATTGACTTCAAAGTTTGCACAAAGCTTGGGTAGGCTTAGGCTCAATTGAGAATGTTAGCTTCTCTATATGTGGGCTCTCAGTCTCTCACATGTGAAGCAAGATGAATAGGCAATGTAGTTTTCATATTCTAAAAGAAAAGAAATGCTAGTTACTCTGTCATGCAAGCACCATTTCTTCTGAAACTTGGGGCCTTATGACACTCCCATGCGGCGAAACAAATGAGGCCAATATCAGTCATGCATGGCTCCTCATTCTTTTGAGAGAAGAGTCAACACTTTCATATGAATATAGATTTTAATAAATTAGTTATGTCCAAGAGTGATTGGACAAGCTTTTGGAGGGACCACAACAAGTAAACAATTACAAGCTCTTAGGCTACTAGTTATTGGTTGATTCTGATGCCACAGATATTACCAATCTGGCTATATCCATCCATACAAGTTAGGTTCTTGTGGCTGAAAATTTCAATGAGAGCTCGTGTAGTAGATTTGGTATATTAGGGTTTCAAAAGTCTATTAACTCCCTGACATGATGGGGCTTGCATTTTATGAACCGCTTCGGTTCACAGGATGACTGATTCCAATCTACTACATATTGGAGCCATTTGGCATCATTTACATGTGTCTTTGGGCTAAATGACATATGTTCTATTGTATACAATGGACAGCAAGGGAAGTATAAAGATTATAAATCTATAACAGATACTTTGTAAGAAATTTGTACTTGCGTGGCAGTCCCACTACTGGGATCAACATTCCCATCATGATATGTAGAAACTCCATAATTTTGCCCATTGTTGCTCACTTTAAGAGCTATTCTCCAGATACTTTGGGCAACTAAGAGAGATACTATTGTAGCATTTTCCCTGCAATTATACTAATGTAGAACAATATGCATAATTTACAATGAGAACTTTGAACTTGGAACCATTAGTGGAAATCGGAAAGATGTGAAAAATTTACTCTAACTGCACAGTATAAAAAGGGAATAATATAATACATCTGCTTTACAATGAGAACTTTGAACTTGCAACCTTAGTGGAAATCGGAAAGATGTGAAAAATTTACTCTAACTGCACAGTATAAAAAGGGAATTATATAATACATCTGCATAGGCTTCGAAGAATCTATCCATCCAACACAAGTCTATAGACTGAAGAAAGCTATATATGTGCAGAAACAAGCACAAGGGCATGCTTGAAATTTTCGGCAAATAAGAGAGATACTATAGTAGCAATTGCCCTGCAATTATTCTAATGTGGAATAATATGCATAATTTGCAATGAGAACTTTGAACTTGCAATCATTAGTGGAAATCGGAAAGATGCGAAAAAGTTGCTCTAAGTGCACAGTATAAAAAGGAACTTATATATTACATCTGCATGGGCTTCGAAGAATCTATCCATCTGACACAAGTCTATAGACTGAAGAAAGCTATATATGTGCAGAAATGAGCACAAGAGCATGCTTGAAATTTTCGGCGACTCCCTTCAAGATGATAGGGTTAAGACAAACTTCTCAAATCACTTGTTTTCAAGTGCTCTGTTTCATTTATTGTCTGGGTACAGCTTTCTGTGGACAGAATCATGAGGTGATCTTGTACGTTGATATGTAGGATCTTGGTAAAGTGGCCTATTCGGTTTGAATTTAAATGGACAGAAGTGTCGAAGGGATACGCTTCAATCAGTAAAGTTACAATTTTGACTTAATAAATTCAAGATGACCGACAATAAGCAATTTCTTTTACTTCTCAACAGAGTGAGAAATTTGGATTCTGGGACAAGTTTTAGCAATCCTACATGTCTCAGAAGTATAGTAAATGGATATGTTGCACTTGCCCAAATGGTCTTTGTTAACTCTAGTCCAATATGTACATAAGCTTATAACAAGTGCATCATTAAGCCGTGAAAGAATTCTAGGTTGTAGATAATGATATTTTTAGCTAACCCAAATAGTTGGCATAAGGCTCGGATGATGATGATGAGATGATGATATTTTTAGATAAGTGACCATTATGAATGGACTACACCAAAAACCATAGCCCCTTGCGTCATCACCATTCGTTGAGATGATGGAAGGTCACAGACCACCATTCTGGTTGCATTGTGTTCTGTTGGCCATCTCTCCATCTCCACATCCCCATCCCCATCCCCATCCATCATTAAAATGGATGACAATGACCCATTGGATTCTGGTTTCTCCATAATGTATTGAACATTAATGTACTTATTAATGTAGTCTGGTTTATTAAACAGAAATGTACTGCCTTGATGGTAGAAGGTTCACCCCATAGTTACCGGGATCCACCTAACAAGGGTTTGATTCTGCTCCGGAATCGTGATATGGAGTTCCAGTGAAGGGGATCTCTCTCCTACGCGATTCTTGAATTTTGGAATCTCGATCCTTAATATTTGGGATCGAGTTCCTGAGTTACATGGGATCTAGATTCCCTAACATTATAGTATAGTATAGAAGTATATTATAATATAGCAACGTGGTACCATATTAGAAGTAAATACACAATATACTAGTAAGTGCTATGTAGTTTGGTATAGATGACTTAGTTTTACATAGTAAATTTAAATATAGCAGCAAATGTTATTGTACTATAGAACATAGTTTATAGCATAGTATTGTAGTATAGTGTATAGCTGTATAGCATTGTATAATAGTGTGGTATATTCTAGTAGTATATATTGTACTCGTTAAGTGCTTGCAAGGGCCTCGATTTTAACTAGAAGTAGCATGGTCTTGTATAATTTATCATTGGATCCCAATTAAGTTTGGCCTCTTGAGTATGAGTGAATGTTCTCTTCGACGAAATTACAATATTGTTATAGGCCAAGCCCATAAGGCAGCAAGCTTTTTGTTTGGCATTGGCAACTAGCGCGGAGGCATGGCATGTTGCTTGGTTGTATCCTCTGAGAAAGTGCTTGTCCTTGAGGTTTGTCTTGTGTTCTTGCATTTGAGTGTCGTAGCCCTTCTCCTCTTCCTGGCTACGATGACAAGGAAATGGACAGGCATTGGATGTCAATCACTTACGCATCATCATTATGTGCCTGTTGGAATCCAACCTAGAGTGGACCTAAAGTCTGATGACTTGATAATCGAGATATAGTACACCAAGGATCACTAGCACAAAGGAACTCTCTTCTCCGACCCAACCACCAAGCCCTCTCGAATCAGTTCTACGATAGAAGCTTTCAACGTAGACCCGGGGACTCTCTTTGCCACGTATTGGGATTGAGATCCCTAGATTTCAGGGTGTGCGGACTGTGACCCCTACCGTAGGGAGCTTTCTGTTTGTCACGATCACGTGGTCCTGATCCTGACCTAGTAACTATTGTTCACCCATGTTTACTTATGTGGGCAAATTTCTTGTTTCTTGGTGGAGCAATTAAAGTTTTTTATCTAAGTTGAATAGTGAAATTGAGTATGGAAATATGCTAGAGAGAGAAACTGAAAGCATATTGATCAACGCTCTTTTATGTGAGATTATCCTGGTATTCATTTCTCTCCCTCTCTCTCTCTCTTTCTCATATACTCATGTATTAACAATTTATCTTGTGATCAACCCATCATCCCATGATGGTACCAAACACATTGAGATAGACTAATGTGTTGCGAGCAGGCGGGCATTAGATTATTGCAATATAGAATTTTAATTCATTTATAGTTTTCATTTTTTATTTTGGAATTTATGAAATGAAAAAAGTACCCAATAAGATCATTTACCTTTATTACAAGAAAGTCACAATTCCTGCCATTGGATTTGAAATCCGGAGGCTGGGCTTGTGCCATTGACGAGGCTCAATGGTCAAATGAAGATTTCTTTAACTATGTGACACACCCAAACCTGTTAGATTTGGCATCTAATGGCTGGGGTGTTTTGACCTCCTTATACCAAAGGTAAATGTTCTCATAGTTTGCAAGCCCTTATGAAATTGTTTATGAAATTGTTTCATGGGATTTCATATCTACTGTCTTATTTTTTATGAAACTTATACCTTGTTCATTGAGTTTTACTTACGTTTTAATGTTTCTGGCAGATATTACTAATTTCAAGTCTCCTTTCCAAACTTACCTTGGACCACCGTGCACTCGTTTGCATTTTAATGAATCTACTTCATTACGATGTGCTTTTAAAGAAGGGCAGAGAGTTGGTCCTACATGGAAAGTGTGCTTCCGTATCCAACATAAAACGAAGTTTGAAAGGAGCCATATTTCTATGCAAAATGGGGTTTCCATTAAGGCTGTGGCCACAATGGATTTAGACTATTTGGTTCAGAGTCAGAGTGAAGGTGGAGAGAAAAATCATTTATCATTGATTTCTGATGGAAATTGTGAACCGAATCAGTTGTCAACTGATGATTCTGCTGAACTGGATGAAAACGAGAGGCTGAGACGAATGAAAATATCAAAAGCAAATAAAGGAAATGTACCCTGGAACAAAGGCCGGAAACACAGCCCAGGTAGGAGTCAGCAATATTTGATTCAGTTGAGTTGCAATCTTCCTTGTTTCTTTCCTTCTCTCTCAGAAAGTCGTTGCTCCTTTATTTTTGGTTATTGGTTAGTTTTAGGGGCACTTATGCATTCAAAAGATTCTTTCTTTCCAACTTGAGATTTGATTGTTCATTTGAATCCAATATAAGGAAATGTACCCTGGAACAAAGGCCGGAAACACATCCCAGGTAGGAGTCAGCTACATTTGATTCAGTTGAGTTGCAATCTTCCTTCTCTCTCAGAAAGTTGCTGCTCCTTTATTTTTGGTTATTGGTTATTGGTTAGTGTTAGGGGAACATATGCATTCAAAAGATTCTTTCTTTCCAACTGTTGAGATTTGATTGTTCATTTGAATCCAATAATATATGTCATAGTTACTTACCCAGCATAAGATGAGGTTTTCTTCCCTTGTTGAACGTGGGAAAAATAGATGGAAATCATTTTCTTTTTTAGGGGTGAGAGGGATTATATACATTTACGTTGCAACCCTGTTAGTCCATTGGACACTCATTTGGTGCATGCATTTGTGAAAAATGTATACAGAAACGCTTCGAAAGATTCGTGAAAGAACTAAACTGGCTATGCAGGATCCAAAGGTGATGTCATGTAAGAATAATTTTACTTGTTACGAACTAAAAACTGTCATATGAAAACAAGTTGCTTTTATTTCAACTTGAACAGTTGTAGTCCTTATGCATTAATTTGACCCTGGTATTCACCTTACATGAGTTGAATGTGTAGGTCAAGATGAAGTTAGTGAACTTGGGGCACGCCCAGAGGTGAGAATTACTTTATTTATCCAATCCCAGTCTTATAAAATGCTTAAATGCAAATGTTGCTACTTATTACTATTATGGTGTGGATTTAACTTCTTTCCTTTTTTGTATTGCTTAGTTTTAAACATTTACTTCTTTTCTTTTTTTTAATATTGCACTTCCCCTCATTGTTGGTCTTGTGGTAGTACTTTGATTTTTGTGTGTATGTGCATGTGCACATGTGTGTGTGTGTGCACGCGCGTCAGAGAGAGAGAGGGAGAGATGGGCCTAAAATTCATTGGTATCCAAATAAATCTGTCTGATTTGCTTTTTAATACTAATGGTACAGCAAAGACACGGGTGGAAACTGGGCAACAAGAGAGAGAGAGACATGGGCCTAAAATTCATTGGTTCATCCAACAGCATCTTTATCTGATTTGCTTTTTTAATACTAATGGTACAGCAAAGAGACAAGGGTGAAAATTGGACAAGGAGTGAGAATCGGTTGGGAAAGGCGTAGAGAGAGGTTAGCATTACAAGAGACTTGCTGTCTTCAATGGCAGAACTTGATCACCGAAGCTTCTAGAAAAGGAATACATGGTGAAGATGAGTTACAGTGGGATTCCTACGAGACACTGGATAGGGAGCTGGAGAAAGAGTGGCAAGAGAGCATCGAAAGAAGGAGATCAATGCCTAGGCCCAAAGGTGGTAGAAGAGCCCCAAAATCACCCGAGCAAAGGAGGAAGATATCCGAGGCCATTTCGGCCAAATGGGCAGATCCTGTAAGGGCACTCTGTATCTTAAAGAGGCATGTTTCAAATCTCTAATTTACAATGATTATCACCTATCCAAGAGATAGGGGCATGAGTATTTGCACTAGACTTATTAGAATCAAACCTGCCTACAAACCAGTGAAGCATGTGGTGCAATCAAGGCCAGTCTGACTGGTTGGACCAGGTTTTTAAAAAATGAAGAAATAATGTGAAATATATTCAAAGAATTGACCAACTTTGTTTAGCTAGTTTAACAGGTCAAACTCGTCGGCCCAACTGGCCAAAGCATGTCAAACTTTGGTTTGGTTTTCAACCAAACCTAGTTCTTGCTTTGGCTGGAATGACCAAGGAATCAGTCAGTGGTCCTACTGACTAGTCCAGTCTTAATTACTATGGTTTGCTCACATGTTTTGTTTTCTACAACCGTGTTTCTTTTGTTACTTGCCCCGTAAAATGACTTGGATCGATGGCTTATGTTGCATGTGTCGACACACCATTGACACAAGATGCATGTCTTAACACTTTAAAATCTTAGATTACAAATTCACTAGAAAACACTTAATTTTTACTTAAAATTTGACTTCCCCCTCTCCTTTAATTAATGTATGGACAAATCATTCTAAAAGGCCAATTTTGGGTTGGCTTTTTGACACTTGTATTTGTCATATGGTGACATGCATGTCCATGTCTTTGTAACATAACCCCAACACTTTTTTGAGTATATTCTAGAATTGCTGGCCAGAATTCCTCCTGTCTAGCTGGGTTCTTATCACTAAACCTTGGTACAAATAACAATCCCAGAAAATATGTCAGAAACCTATTTCTTAACTTTGGATCTTAAACTGTCCTTTTCCTTGGTAAGTTGCTTCTCGTGATCTTGAGATAGAGTCTAATAATTAACCATAAATTTATGAAGAAGAAGTGATGATTGGAATGCTTACTACAAGTAAAAACAAAAAACTTAGTAAGGCTTTTGTGCTAAGTGATTTCAAAGATACTTAGGATTGCTTGATCTTTTCTTACCAATAAAAATACTTGGTCTTTTTTCTTATTCGATAAACGTAGTTTTAATTGATAACATTGATACATTTTAGTGATGTTTGGTAATGCTTACTAGTTACTATCAAGAAAAAAGAAAAAACTCAGAAATGCTCTACTGCTTAATAAATGGTTTCAAAGATTTTTAGTATTGCTTAGCCTTTGCCTAGTAAAAGGAAAACTTGTGCTCTTTCCTTAGAGATAAAGTAAATTTTAGTGATTTAATCATCTCATCGATAAAACTTAGTTGCACTTGGTCTTTTCCTATCACTAACAATGGTAAGAAAATGCTTGCGACTTTTGTTTCTGCAGGAATATAGAGATAGAGTTTTCTCTGGGCTTACTAAATACCATGGGACCCCAGTTGGAGCAGTCAGAAGATCACCAAGGAGAAGGCAAATGGAGGATGCCAATGCTATGAAAAGCAGCCCCATAAAGAAGCAAGAAATGCTTAATAGTGGTGGATCAACTGGGAAAGCTGGACCAAAGAGTAAAGAGATTTCTACTCCTTCATATACTGATCCATTAGCTAACTCCAAACTTGAAATGTTAAAGAAAATCAGAAAACAAAGGGCGGCCATGGAAACTAAGAAAAAAGAAGCCACAGAAAGAGCAAGGTAAGCACTTATTTCTTTAAGGGATAATATACTGTAGTCCAATGGACTATGATACACTCAGTCATTTGATGTCATCACCAAACCATGAAATGGAGAAAGTGTGGGACCTGCCAGAACTGGCCATGGCTCCAATGGTGCGGGTCTGTCACTCCCTCATTTTATTGGATAGCATTAAATCCAATGGACTAGTGTTTTATATAGTCCATTGGATTATTGTAAGTTTCCCTTTCTAATATTAGATGATTTCTCTTTCCGTGAGGTATAATATTCTTTTCTGATATAAGGCATAGGACCATATTTGCTACTTGTTAGGCTATCCCAACCTAGCGGTGACCCTACTGTGGAGTCTTGCTCCAACGTCTGAAAAAGGGTTCTTTAAGGGACTTGATTTTTGGATTTTGGGATCTCGATCCCCACTATTATGTGGATCTCTATCCCTTCCTTAAAGACCAAAATAGTGCCCAAACTGATGATGTTCATTATTTATAGCCACTACCAATGCAACCATACTTTTAATATAAATGCATTGTTTGTTGGCTATAAATAAAGAGATCCCTACTTTAAATAGTATCATATTCTTGTACTATATATTCTTTAAAATTGGGAGCAAGATCTGCCAAAAGGGCAGGATCGAGATCTCTAGCATTTGGGGATCTTGATCCCTAACTTATGTATTGTAAGGACAGCACTTCCAACCGGAGGGATCTTCTAGCCTTTCACGATCCCTGCTCCTGATCCCGACAATTATGAATAGGACTAAGCTAACCATCATAACGGTTTCATCAATCTTGGCCGGTCATTAAACCCCTTAAAGGTTTCAAGGATTGCTTTGTTCCTTATTTTTGTTGATCTAGTGGCAAATTTTGTCATCAAGAATTTCTTGGGGAAGGCATGTTTTAGAGAGATTTTTGAAATTGGTTCTTGGATATTCTCAGAAAATCTTGAAAAGGAAAGAAAATTTAAAAAATGACAGACTCGCTAAAAGTTTTGAAAAATGAAAGAGTTTAATTCGTCTATTCTATAATTCCTTTTCAGACTTCAAGTTTATCTTTATAAATACAGTGTGGAAAGAAAAAAAAAGAAAAAATATCAAGAAATTAATGACCACATAGTTTCCTGAAAATCTTGGAAATTTTCCCAAGATCTTTAGGAAAGGGCAGCATTTTGAAACCTGGGTGGAGCCAGTCCACTCTTCTAGCAATAAGCCGTAGAAGTTAAATCAGATGTTGTTTTACAATTGACTTGCTCTCCAGTAAGTCACTCAGTTGGGCAATCATATAAACCAGGTTGTTGATTGCTGAAGCCGAGAAAGCTGCGAAAGCCTTAGAAGTTGCTGCCATGTCCAACCCTCTGGCTAGAGCCACACTTGCTGAAACCAGGAAACTAATTGCAGAGGCTACTCGATCACTCGAAAGCATAGACAATGGGCAGATCAATTCACACGCTCAGGACCAACAGGTCCTGAATACTTCAACTCCCAATCCTGAGCTAATTAAGACATACATGAATGGCAAACACCATCTCACTCAAAGTGACAATAAATTTGAGAACTTTGGTTTCGATAAGCTGGCTCTGCAGAATGTAATGAATGGCACGGAGGATCCTGACACCATTAATAATGTGAGAGAAAGGTCCGAGAATGCAGGTCTTGGTTACTTATCATGTTCCTTACAGAGTGGTAATGCTACATTTGAGCATAATTGTCCTGCTACGCAAGAAAAGATTGTGGCTGAAGGAGTGAGGTTGGGAGCTGAAATGGGGATTTCTCAGTTTAGGAAAACTGAAAGTTCTGCCTCTGCAACTGCCACTAGGAAAAAATGGGTTTGTGGAAGGTTGGTTGAGGTGGAGGATGATTAGAAGATGCAATAGTTGTAACTTGTAAGTATGATTATATTTGGCATTAGTTTTGGGTGGCTGTAATCTTGTAGAAGAGTCATTTAGTTTAGTGGGGCACATCTCCCTCTCTCCCTCTCTCTCTGTGTAGTGAGGTCCTCCAATTAGTTTAAATGAGATGTAATCTTATGAAAGAAAACATTTGTTTTGGTGCTCAGTTTTTACTCTCTCTTGAGCATCTGAATATGTATTGACATGTCATTTTACCATGAGCAATGCGTGGTTATTTCATATGCTAATTGAGCGCGTTTGGATGCTCTAGATAACCCTGATAAGTCATGTTTAGAATAATGTTATTCTTCTAAAACACCTATATGTTGTTTGGTAATGGTGCCTATGCATATATTTGCCGCGGGGATTTAAGTTTTCCAGTAGAAGTGCATACAATTGGGAGAACTGCATTATTATGGTCTTACCTGCCTCTTCAGCTCTCTCTGTTTCAAGTTGTGATCTCTCTCTCTGCAACTCGTCCAATCTCTTTAGCACCCACCTCTGAACAAGCTTCAATGGCTTCTTTTTGCCCCCAACAAGCGGTTTCCATCGAGCACTCCATGGCTGAAACCCTCAATGCTCAAATTTTCATCTCCCCATCACCTAGAAAACCTTCGTATCAAGTTAAATCCACTGTTGTGATGGCGAAGCAAGCCAAGGTCTTCTGTTGTAGAGCTTCCATGGCTGATTTGATAGAAAATGAGGAGAAAAAGCAAAACTAGACTTCATAAGAGATGCCCACATTCAAGATTTTAAGTTTGAGGCATGATGAACAAGATAGAAAACAGAGAGTTGATGAGGACTGAGAAAGGAAATCGTTTTAAATGGTCCCAGAGAACCAAATGGGGCTTGCTAGAAAGATTAGAGAGAACAGAAAAAAACATGACAAATTTATCGAATGAAATCAGGTTTGAAAGAGGCCCAGTTGTTCTTTTGAACCACGTTGCTGCCATGATTGACTACACAATGCAGATGCCATGGAAGAAAGGGCTCACTGTTCTCCGGTTCTCTTATTTTTCTGAGATAAAAGAGCAACAAAATGATGAGTTTGTGGTGGGGAGAGAGACTGGTCTTCAAATTCAGGGCTTGGATGATAATTAATGATATCTAAAATCGAATAATTTGTTCAAAACTTATACACTATCTGTTAGCTGTTTGGTATGTAGCTAGAATTATATATAATATTATTTAATTAGTTTACTTTTCAACAAGTTTAAGCCATTTTCAGCAAAAAAATATGTGATTTTTAACACACTGAAGAAGAAAAAGTAAAAAATGCTTTTAAAAAAGACAAACATGTAAAACCGCCTCTTGAATAACTTTATGATGGACGTTCCCAAATCGAAAAAGTTTATATAGAGCTGAGGCTCTAAACAATCAAATTGGAGCGTATCTCGAAAATTTTATTAGAAGAGGTTGTTTTGATGCCCAAATATCCTCAAATTGATCATCTCGACATCAAGAAGAATGTACATGAGAAAAAAATGGATTTCAAGTTTTAAAAATAAGGCATCTTGTATCGTGTTTTTGGACTATCAATTTTTAAGATTTTCAAGTATTCATAGATTTGATTAATCTATACTATTTTTGAAGCTTTAAATTTTATAATTAAAGATAAAAATATATTTTAAGGCTATCACAAAGATTTCTAATATTGAAACCACTTTTATTTGACAGTAATTTGAACATGGTTCCAATTTAATTGTTTAGAGTCTTGGCTCTATACAAACCGAACCCTTATCAAATAATATATAATTTTTTTAATAGTAATTTTATTGAAATAGTGAATTATCAATAATTACAAGAATATCCAACCAGGCTCTTACTAGAGAGAGATAGAGAGAGGTGATGGAGGGAAAAAAATCGTTGTTTCAAAAAAAAACAAAAAAAAGGTAAGAAGAGGAAAACAAAAGGGAAAAAGATGATCACAATGGGAAATAGTAGATAATGTAACGATCAAATATTATCTATTATATATTAAACCAGAAGAATACCCCCTCTATTTTTATACGGTGTTCTAAATAAATCTCTCCATACCTATATGATTTCATTTTATCTCTCTATTTTTCTCCCTCTATTTTTGTACCACATATTTCATTTTTTCTCGTCTTTAATAAATCTCTCCCCCCACCCACCCACCCACACGATTTTCTCTCTTCACTCTCTTCCTATCACAACTTTCTTTAAAGGGTGGAGTTGGCATACAGATGCATCCATTGGTGTAGAGGTAATGTGCACTTCAACTTTTATCATGGTATAT